TGGAGGCTGTGGTGGTGGTGGTTGTGGAAGTATGTTAGAAAGCGGCGGCTGTGGTGGCAGTGGTTGTGGAGGGTGTGGTGGTGGTGGTTGTGGAAGTATGTTAGAAAGCGGTGGCTGTGGAGGTTGTGGTGGTGGTGGCTGTGGAAATAGGTTAGAAAGCGGCGGCTGTGGAGGTTGTGGTGGTGGTGGCTGTGGAAATAGGTTAGAAAGTGGTGGCTGTGGAGGTTGTGGTGGTGGTGGTTGTGGAGGGAATAGTTTGAAAAGCAGTGGTTGTGGTGGCTGTGGTGGCGGTGGATGTGGTAATGGTTTGGCATCTATCACAACTGTTGAAGTTAATGCATAAATGACATCCCAAAGGAGGGTAATAATAAAAGTTATCATGCTTTTTATGTTTGTTGAACCCTGTTCAGATTTCAACACTAAGCTCTTGATGAGACTCGTGTGTCTTGTAATTAGGATTTCAACTGTTGGAAATGTTTGTTGTATTATTATGAATGTAAAACGGAAATAATGTGTCAAGAATGAATGTATTATATGTTGTTCTAGTGACTGGTTTGTGTGTGTAAAGTAGTACTATTATGGAATAATGCAAAGGAGTGCCGTTTGAGCATCTTTTCAATGCTTGATAAATATTGCTCTGAAGCTGAATTAGTTTTGCTCATTTATTTGCTAGTGTTCGTGGCTGGAACCAGTCATTTATCTCCCTCCCAGTTAGCTGCGGCACCTGCCTTGTCTTCTTGGTAAGTTTCTATCTCACTTCATCGCATGACGCTAGTGATTATTTGAATTCATAATCAAGTAGGAAATTTGGGCCATATTTACTTGTAAATGAATAAATCTGGCAGGAAAAACATTGATTTTGTTGAGAGATTTACTGATGCATAAAGTGACTTTACCTGATCAGGTCACACAAAAACCAACTGCTAGTAACTTCTTATACTTGTTGGTGTGTTGAATACGAGTAATATTTACTTGTCCAAGATTGGAGTAAAATGCTAATGAAAGAAACTAAGAAAGGGAGGGTCTCATTGGTCGAACAAATCCTTTGCGCAGTTATAGTTTAGTTCCAATGGATTGTATATGCAGGGCCGGCTCTATGTATACAAAAATAAGGCATTGGCCTTAGGCCCCCAATTTTAGGGGGCCTCAATTTTTTACCAAGAATAAATTATGTGTTAATTTTTTAAAGAGAAATATTAAATATTTATGATAAAAAGTATATATTTAAAATTATTATTTTATTCTCTTCAACCCCATTCAAATAGAAGAAATCAAGAAAATATTGTTTTATTTTCTTACACTCTCTCTACTAATACTCACATTATTTTCTTTTTAAATCCTTTTACACTCTCTTCTTTAAATTGTTGATAAGTTAGAGTAATATTTTGTCAAAAATATCAATTAATAGTCGAAAAGTGTTGAACAAATTGAATTGTAAATTCTTTTTCCATTTCTTCTTAGATTTTCAAGCATTACAACAACCATAGTAAAATGTGGGGTAACCAAATTATCAACTTCATCAAAGCTATGGTTCTAACTATTATATTTATTTGAAATTTGTCAATTTATTACTTGTAGAACTATGTTAACAATTCATATAATGATTGCCCGAGTAAAATAATATTTTTCAACGTTGAATTAATAAAATCTTATTTAAAACTAATAAATGAAAAAGAAATCGAATAAATCATTTATATATAAAAAAATATATTAGGTAATACTTTGCATTTAAAAATGTAAGAAAAATAAATTTTAAATAAATCCATGTGAAGTTTATTTAGATTTTAGGTCTCTAATTAAGATTTCGCTCTAGGCCTCCGATTACGTTGAGCCGCCCCTGTGTATATGGAAGAATTCCATCAGTACCCAAGTGGCCATTATGTGATATGGTTGTCCTGTTAATATAAAGAGACTAAACTCCTTCGATGGTTTGTCATTAGAAATAATTACTAGAAAGGTGTCTGCTTAATACTTTTATTACTGAACAATATAATTAGGAAAAGAGAATCATGTCAATTGTATTTCTAAGAGATGTTATTTGAAAAATGAGATTATCGAACGCATGCTTTTTAAGAGATGTGATTTGAAAAAAGTGTGTATATAATTAACTCATACACACTATATATATATATAATATAAAGTTTATACATTGTGTATATAGATGTATAATGTTGTATACTGAATGTATAAGCATTGTTGCAAAAAAAAAAAAAAAGAGGCTATGCGGGTGTAATGTGAAATTATGGGCTACGTAGATGTAATATTTTGTATTGAACAGTAGATTTTATAAAAATTCCCTTTAAATGTTACTATTATTCTCAAATAATATGGAAAATGAGCCCTATTAATTGAAATGATCTTTGACAATATTACTGATGTCTACGATAAAATGATTGGAAAACACTTTTTCTTATTTTGCTAGTGTGCTAAATTTGACAATAATGATAATGTGACGTATGTGGGGGAAATAATACATAATGGGAAGAGAAAAAAATTTATATCTTCTGTGATAAGAAAGAGGTAATAGATATATTGCTGAAAAATATAAAAATGGTTTGGAATATAAATATAGTTTGTGAAGATATTTGATTATAGCTTCATATCTAGATCATGTTGTGTTCAACACATCCCTAAGATCTTTAATTATATTGCTTTTAACTTAGCAACTTCTTTTATTTTATTTCTTGGTACATGAATTTTCTTAGGAGATGATATCCCCGAATCGAATTGTGAATAGTGTTATATGCTTCTTTGAACATATCATATCTTAAATGAATTAATAGATAACTAATTCTATAACAAATAGTCAAGTCATTCAAAAAAAATGTATCTGGTCATTTCTTCTCCTAACAGTAACCTATTTGGAAAATTCAAACATGATAGAGACATGTACCTATTTTCTTACTAAAATTAATGAGATATGAGACTTTTAACTCTCATCGAAATTTTAAAAATATCTTTTCTTTATCTTGTATAACATTATGCGTTGCTTCTCACTCAACATAACATGCATATTATTTGTGAATATATATGATCAAAATGTGTTATTAATGTATGGATTTTGATTTCATTTAGCATACATTATGATCATTTCCACTAGGTTTACACCTTACGAATCAAATGAAATCAAAATTCATTTATGTCAAGGACAATCTTGATCACTTTTATATGTATTGAATAATTAATACTGCCAATCAAAAACTGCATTTCAACTAATAACTTTTAAGGACTTACTTGGATCAGAGCAAGTTAAGGTTATTTATTTATTTTTCAATATTTAGTTTATATATATATATATATATATATTGGTATACAATATAAAATATAAAAACTTACTAAACGTTTGATATTTTGAGCATCTTAATAAGTTATTTATAGATTCTTACGCAACTATATAAGAGTTATTTATGAGGAAAAAATAAATCCAATGTTGAGTTAATTGATATTGATGTCTGTGTGGAGATTCTTATCCTTAAAATTCCAACAAAACATGGATAGTTTCATGTGTTACTCATGTTCTTGTTTACGTTGCAATATAAGTTATACTCTCTTTGTCCAACAATACTTGTCCACCGTTCACTTTACACACTTTTTAAGAAACTATAAATGTAAGGACAATTTTACTATATCACTCTTTGAATATAATAAATATAATGTTTTGAAAAATTTACTCCCTCATGGTATTTAAGAAAAACCATATTAAAGGATTACATGGGGAAAAATTAACTAAATTTACCTTAAAAGATAAATAATTTAAGATAACTATATTTAGAAAAATAACATATAATTTGAGATAGATGAGGTACATACAAAATCTGATAGTATCACTAATTTTAAAAATATAATGAGTAAAGTACTACAAATATTTGGTGACGATTTCACTAATCAAAGCGATTTAGAAACAATATAGTTAAAGAAATATTTATGAGAAACCCCAAAATTCATTTTAGAAGTAGTTTTATTACAAAATACTCCATAGAATTTCTTTTTCACTCCATAGGTCTATTTTTTTTACCGATGAAGTTAAAAGTAACCAATTTCGAAAAGTGTCATTTCGTCAATAATGCTGGCCAGAATTATGTGTTACGCTTCTCCCAATAATTTAAAGAGACCTCACTCCTTCATAGAAATATTTTTGTGATTAGAAAAAAAAAATTCCATTTGATTGAGAATTCAAATTATTTTTTATGCAAGAAAATCAAGTTACAATAAAGTGTTTCTGGTTCATTCTTTGTCCATTTGGAAAATTCAAACCTGATGGAGACATGGAGGGACCCCAACACTAGTAGCTACTACATTACTTATGTTCACTTTCAAACATAATTATTCTCTCACCGAAAGTTGAAAATTATGCGTAGCTTTTCTAATTTTGTGTGCAACCTTACTAGCTCGAGTAATTCAAATTCGTATAGAATAAGTTAATTACAAAATAAAAGGTTGATCTCTACCAAAATAAATTTTGAGGTTACATATATATGCGCTTGAAGGAGAGGATCAAATTGTATATGAAAGAAATTAGATATGGAACAATCTTTAGTGCAAATTTTGTTGATAATTATGTAGATGCCTCTACGAAAGCAGAGGTGATTGAGCTGTTGGACTGAAATAATCAGGGCATTGTGCGCGAACTAATAATTACAAAATATAGTAGTGATAAATCAAATGACAAAGAAAATTATACTAAAACATTCATAATATATTGTTTGGTCATTTAATAGCGGCCTATATAAAAGAAACTAATGTAAAATCTAAATTGTTGAGAGAAAAATCTCCTCCTAATAAAACAAGACTTTATAATCGACTAATGAATGATATTGCATATATTATGATATGAGAAGAATGATCTTTAATTTATAAAAATTCAAACTTTTCTTCTAAAAAAATAACCAAATATAAAAGAGAGATTTATATTAGACAAAATTAAAACTCAAATATGATAAAAACACGAGACAATCAACTTTGAAGCAACGAACAAGGACTAACATTCTGAGAGATCTAATAATAGTTTATCAACAGATGAAGAGGATAGAAGGGTCACAGCAACACTCATCAATCAGGAAACAGCAACACAAAGCTGCCAGACTGCACCAACGTAAGTAAACAGAGACAAATTCAAGATTTAAATAAATACAGTATTCAAAATTCCCGAAAAAAAACAACAAAAGAAGGGGCACTTACCATCCCTCAAGAAAGCCAGGTTCCCTTCTTGGAGGAGGAGCTGCATAATAATATTGAGGTGGTGGAGGCATCACTGGAGGACCTTGATAATAACCTATACCACCATTAATTAATTAATTTCAATTAAAATCAATTGAGTGAGCTATGGGAATTAATTAAGGTTGATTAACCAAAAAGAAGTCAGAATTAAAGTAGATTAGTTAAGATTAATAGTAGTATATAGGAAATTAAAAGTTAAATATACCTTGAGCAGGGTAGGGATGTGCATACTTTGGTGGCTCACTCATCCTTAATTCCAAACTTCTTCACAATATCTCACTGAGATAAATATATGTTTGTTGTAAAGAAATACTATAACAAGAATATTTATACACAACCACACAGAGTTTTTCATTTTAGTCTTTTTCAAACAAAAAAAACAAATGTCACATTTTTATAATTAATTTTTTTAATTTTTTTTTTAATCTTTTTCACATTACTTTCCTCTAGCTTTATTAGGTATATAGGACGTAAATTTGTGTCCCTACAAATGATGTCAATTGACAATAGTTATTGCATGATACCTCTTTTTGTTTAACAAGTAGGTGCACAAAATAATAAACTTCAATAACACTCTATACGTTGTCTTGGTACATGGTGGAGCAGTTGCAATTTGTCCTTTGGCCAGAAAATTTCGATAGTGGAACTGGTTTATTGGAATGAGTGACTTAGCAAAATCATCACATTACATTGGAAATATAGTGAAGTATATATTCAAAACTACTGAGATGAGCATCAATATTGTTAGGACCGAAATAAGCAGGTGTAATGCGGAAGCTAGCAAAACAAACCTCGAAAGACCACGAGTAAGAAGACAAATAAGAAACACATCAAAAGAGACAGATTTAACGTGGTTCGGTCAATCGACCTACGTCCACAAAGGAGATGAGCAATCCACTATAAATATGATAATACAAAATATAGAGAGAAACAGCCTCAACCAATTCACTCGGAATACAAGGAGGTACACAAAAATCTCCTCCATAACCGCAACTCTCAAAACCCTAGGACTTCATTGTGAATGTTGATTAAGTTTGAAAGAACAGTCCTATATTTATAAAGTCCTAAAACCTTTCCTACAAGAAAAGGACTACTCAAAATATTAAAACATTTTCCTAAAAGGGAAGCCTATTTATGGTAAGAAATCAGGGTAAATAAACCCCAACAAATCTCCCCCTTGACCTGAATTTCTGACAAAATAAATTTGTCCACCTTCTTCACATAATCTTTAGAATCTTGCGTCTCTTCTCCATAATCTCCTCCATCAAATCTACGTCTCGACACAGAGAACCTCTCTGAAACAGTTTCTCCAACAAAATCTTCATTATTGTCAAAAAGGTTGCGACTAGAATTACACCCACCAAGATGAACACCCATCTCTAACATGGTTCCATCATTGAACCATAACTCTGATACCACTTTATTGGGAAAGGCAAGGCACTAACAAAAATGCCAGACAGGATAGCAGCAGAATAATACTCAAATCTAAATTTTCCCTTTCAATTTGAACCAAGAGAAGACAAACCAAATCAACCAATATGAAGAATGGACAGCAAGTATATCAACCAAACTAAAACAACAAGATAAGAATAAGTCAATCACACAAGACACAACGATTTACGTGGAAAACCTTTCGATGTGAAGAGTAAAAACCACAGGACCAAAAGCTCCACTATAAACACCAAGAGTTACAAAATTGTTCTCCAAAATTGGCCACAAAACAAGCGCCAAACAACGAGCAACAACAAATCAAGATTGCACCAAAACTAGAGAATTAAAGAAGAAATTTCACCCAAAAATGCGCTACTGTTCACGCCCAAAAATAAGAAGCTACAGACCTCAAAATCAGATCTCCACCGTTGAAGTTTAAGAACCAGATGCTGAGAACTCCCAGTTAAAATTTGAGCACGATCCAACGGTTAACGAAGCAGAAAACTTTGTCTGAAGCGGATTGCCTGAGCAGAAAATTTCCAGAAGCAAAAACGGGATTTTTCTTTTTTTCTCTCAATCTCAAAAACGAAACTCTCTTGATTTTTATCTCTTGTGTTTCTGAAAATAAGACCAAATAAGTCTTATATATGCCACATAATATTTAGGTTATGGGCTAAAGTGAGCTAGTCCTAATTAGACTTTTATTTATCCATATAAGAAGGGGAAAAAAAAACCCAACAATTCTCCCCCTCACAACTATGTGGAGGAGACCGCCATCCCGGCGATCATGCAACAATTCTCAAACTTCCCTCTTGGAAAAGCTTTAGTCATCATGTCGGAACCATTATCATTGGTATGGATCTTTTCAAGTTCAAGCAACTTAGAATCCAACACATCTCGAATCCAATGATACCTCACATCAATGTGTTTAGACCGACCATGAAATGTAGAATTCTTGCCAAGATGAATAGCACTTTGACTGTCGCAATAAAGCACATACCTCTCTTGAGCACAACCAAGTTCCCCGAAAAATCTCTTCATCCAGATCAACTCCTTGCAAGCTTCAACAGCAGCAATAAGTTCACCTCTGTAGTAGATAAAGCAATACATTTTTGCAACCTAGATTGTCAAGACATAGCTTCCCCTGCAAAAGTAATCAAGTAGCATGAAGTAGACTTACGAGTATCAACATCACCAGCCATGTCTGAATCAGTGTAACCACAAAGAATAGGCTTTCATGTACCAAAACACAAACTCAAACTAGAAGTGCCACAAAGATATCTCATAATCCACTTAACAGCATTCCAATGCTATCTTCCCGGATTAGAAAGAAAACGGCTAACAATACTAACAGCATGAGCAATATCTGGTCTTGTACACACCATTGCATACATCAAACTACCAACAGCTGAAGCTTAAGGAACTTTCTTCATATATTCCTTCTCACCATTACTGGAAGGACAATGTCTAGTACTTAATTTGAAGTGCATAGCTAAAGGTGTATTAACAACCTTAGCTTTGTCCATGTTGAATCTACGAAGTACTTTCTGAATATACTTATCTTGTGACAACCACAACTTCTTGGCATCTCTATCACGGACAATCTGCATGCCAAGAATCTGCCTTGCTGGTCCTAAGTCATTCATAGCAAAAGACTTATTCAACTTTTGCTTCAACTCTTTAATCCTACAAGCATTATGACCAACAACAAGCATGTCATCAACATAAAGCAAAACAATAATAAAGTCATCATCATAGAATTTTTGCACAAAAACACAATGGTCTGAAGAAGTCTTCTTGAAGCCCTGCTGACTCATAAAAGAACCAAACTTCCTGTACCATTGCCTGAGAGCTTGTTTTAAGCCATACAAGCTCTTCTTCAATTTGCAAGCATAATTCTTCTTTCCCTTGACTTCAAAACCTTCCAGCTGCTCCATATAAATTTCTTCATCCAAGTCACCATGGAGAAAAGCAGTTTTAATATCCATTTGTTCAACCTCTAAATCCAGACTTGCAACCAAGCCTAGAACCACATGAATGCATGACATCTTCACAACTGGAGAGAATATCTCATCAAAATCAATCCCTTTTTTCTGGCTAAAACCTTTCACAACTAATCTAGCCTTGTACCGTGGAAATAGATTACCATCTTCATGTTTCACCCGAAAAATCCACCTGTTTTTCAAAGCTTTTCGATCTTTAGGTAACATACCCAAATCGAATGTATGACTATCATATAGAGACTTCATTTCATCCTCCATAACATCAAATCACTTTTCTTTTTCTTCATTTTCCATGGCCTCATCAAGACTCTCTGGTTCTCCCCCATCAGTCAAGAGTACATACTCATTAGAAGAATAATGAGATGAAGGTATTTTATCTCTAGTAGATCTTCTGAGAGAACTCTCTGGAGCATCAATAATAATTGGTTGTTGACCAACCACATCATCTTGCACTAGAGCATCAACGGCATATTGGTCATTCTGAATATGATCACCATCTTCAATATCTACTTGATTTTCATCATTTTGAAGATTTTCACCTGGTGAAATAGTCAAAGGCACTGAATCAACATCAACTAGGCTGGCACTACTCTGAGAATCAATTTTCTCAACTTTGTCAAGATCTTCAATTGTTTGGTCTTCAAAGAACACAACATCACGGCTTCTAACAAGTTTCTTCTCAACTGGATCAAAGAAACGATAGCCAAATTCATTTTGACCATAACAAACAAAGATACATTGCCTAGTTTTAACATCTAACTTTGACCTTTCATCCTTAGGAACATGCACAAAGGCTTTACACCCAAAAACTTTAAGATGATCACAAGAAACATTCTTACCAGACCAAACTCTGTTAGGGACATCACCATTCAAAGCAACAGTAGAAGATAAATTGATAACATATACAGCCGTATTAAGTGCTTCTGCCCAAAAGGAATCTAGCAGCTTAGCATCTGAAAGCATATATCTAACTCTCTCAACAAGAGTTCTATTCATCATATCCGCCAAATCATTTAGCTGAGGAGTCTTTGGAGGAGTTTTCTAATGCCGAATATCCTGCTCTCTGTTATATATATCAAATGGGCCAATATACTCACCACTATTATCAAAACAAATGCATTTCAATTTCTTCCCTGTCTGTCTCTCAACCAAGGCCTGAAAACTCTTGAACACATCAAGTACTTGATCCTTGAACTTCAAAAAGAATACCCAGTGTTTGCGAGAATAATCATCAATAAAAGTCACAAAATAAAGTGCACCACCATGAGTCCTTACGTACCTTAAAAGGACCACACAAATCAGAATGTACCAACTCCAGCAAATCAGGCTTTCTTGAAGGTGGATGACTGTGAAAAGAAACTCTCTTCTATTTACCTGCTAAGCAATGAACACACTTGTTCAACTTTGCTTGTTTCACTCCAGAAAGCAAATTCTTTTTAGCCAAATTGTTCATCTCGTTCTCGCTCATATGACTCAGTCTTCTATGCCATAACAATGATGAAGTATCATTCTCCACCAAATTCACCGAGCCTCTAAAAATGGAGCCCTGAAAAACATACAAGTTAGACAACTTATCACCACGGGCTACAACCATCGAATTTCTAGTAAGCTTCCACTGGCTAGCACCAAGGGTATTAACATAACCGTCATCGTCAAGGTATCCCACAGAAATCAAATTCAAGCGAACATCTGGAGCATGTTTGACATTATTGAGAACTAGTTGGGAACCATTGTTACTTTCCAAACAAACTGTCCCAATACCAAGAACTGCAACCTCATGATTATTACCCATTTTCAATATCCCAAAATTACCTGGAGTATAAGAGGAAAATAATTCCTTCTTGGGCATGACATGAGAAGTAGCACCAGAA